ACTCATAGTAACCCTACGCCTAACAGAATGAAACACTGCCTGGTCCTGCACCATTGGCACAATCCTTGCTATGTTTGAGTCCATTGTTACAGCCAGTGTGTCATCCATCTCATTGAGAGTCTTCCCCTTTTTCACCAACCCTCTACTTGACCAGGAAATTCTGTTGGCATAGTGTCTAAGACATCTGACTGCTAACCAGAAGGCTGGTGGTTCAAACCCACCAGCCACTCCTTAGAAGGAAGATTGGGCAATCTACTTCTGTAGAGATACTGCTTTCGAGACCCAAGAAGTGGGTCACGATGAGTCGAATCAACTCAACAGCAGTGAGTTTTTTGGTTCTACTTTACCAAGCATGATATTCTTCTCCAGGGACTGCTCCCTTCTGACAACATGATGAGAGTAGGTGATATTAACTCTGGCCATTGTTTCCAAGGTGCGTTCGAGCTGCACTTCTTCATTCCAGCTGCACAAGGGACAAATTCGTTCATTCTTCTGCAGACCATGCCATTTTCAATATTCTTTGTCAACACAATTCAGAGGCATCAACTCATTTTCAGTCTTCTTATTCATTGTCTAGCTTTCACATGCATGTGAGGTGATTGAAAATACCATGGCTTGGGTTAGGGTCACCTTGGTTTTCAAAGAGAAATCTTTGCTTCTTAAAACTTTAAAGAGGTCTTTTGCACATTGTCCCAGGGTGACATGATTTCTGATTTCTTGACTGTGGCTTCTATAGGTGTTGATCAAAGTAAATGAAATCCTTGACAACTTCAATCTTTTCTCCACTTATGATGATGATGCTTATTGGTTCAGTTGTGAGGATTTTCATTTTTGTTATCTTGAGTTATAATCCATACCTATGTGGTCTTTCACCTTCATTGGTAAGTGTTTCACATCTTCTTCACTCTCAGCAGGCAAGGTTGTGTAATCTGTATATTGAAAGATAATGGAGCTAGAGACCTTTTTCTGTTAACAAAGGGAATCCAATTGTGTTGGGTATCTAAGTCAGAATCAACTTGATGCAATGGATTTGTTGTTTTTGTCTGTTTGTTTGGGTTTGGGGTGTTTAATAGGAGAGAATAACCAGAAATATTGTTAATCATCAATAACATGCAAAGGTGCATTTTCGGGAAATATAATTAAACAAAAAAATCTCCTGCCAACCCAGCAAACCTCTTCACAAAAACAATAGAAAAAAAAAGTTCTATAATTGCATAAATACTAAATCAGAACTTGATCCATCACAGGCAATCCACTGAAGACATTACAAAGACAGAAAGAAATCTGACCCTGAAGCTG